GAGGTGGGACCCAGCAGCTCATCTTCTTCTCGGCGCCCCTGCAGATGCCGACAAGTCCGCGTACCTGATGGGGCTGAACTCGGCCGATCTCCTCAAGGGGCTGTGCCACCCCCGCGTGAAGGTGGGCAACGAGTACGTCACCAAGGGGCAGAATGTCCAGCAGGTGAGGAGGACGCTCCCAAAACCGCCTCCTTTCGGTGCCATCCTGGGCAAGGAGGGCACTGGGAGCCCCCGTGTCCCCGCTGGGATGTCCCTCTTCCAGGTGTACTACTCCATCGGGGCCTTGGCCAAGGCTGTCTACGAGAAGATGTTCAACTGGATGGTGGTGAGGATCAACAACTCGCTGGAGACCAAGCAGCCGCGGCAGTACTTCATCGGCGTGCTGGACATCGCCGGCTTCGAGATCTTTGATGTGAGGCCTCGCAGGGGTGGCCACGGGGCGGGGGGCGGGCATTGGTCCTCTTGGGGCATGGGTTAATCTCCTCAATCTTCACTTTGACCTTGGGTGGAAACTTGGCCTCTTTGGGCATTGTGTTGACTCCACTGTGTGTCACACTGACCCTGTTAACCCCCACTGGGGGTTCAGCTGACCCTGTTGATCCCATTGGACATTGCATTGACCCCACTGGGTGTTGGGTTGACTCCGTTGACCCCATGGGCCATCTCTTCCCCTCAGTTCAACAGCTTTGAGCAGCTCTGCATCAACTTCACCAACGAGAAGCTGCAGCAGTTCTTCAACCACCACATGTTCGTGCTGGAGCAGGAGGAGTACAAGAAGGAGGGGATCGAGTGGGAGTTCATTGACTTTGGCATGGACCTCCAGGCCTGCATCGACCTCATCGAGAAGGTACCACCTGCCCCAGGGCCTCCTGGGGGCTGAGGGGGCTCCTGGAGGAGGAGCCTTCCAGCTGGAGCTTGCCAGGGACGGCGAATGTGGCTGGCTGAGTTGTGCTTGGTGTCCTTCATGGCCAATGGGGTCTTCTCCTCTGCAGCCCATGGGTATCATGTCCATCCTGGAGGAGGAGTGCATGTTCCCCAAGGCCTCGGACATGACCTTCAAGGCGAAGCTCTACGACAACCACCTGGGCAAGTCGGCCAACTTTGGGAAGCCGCGCAACATCAAGGGCAAGGCGGAGGCCCACTTCTCCCTCACCCACTACGCCGGCACGGTGGACTACAACATCCTGGGCTGGCTGGAGAAGAACAAGGACCCCCTCAACGAGACAGTGGTGGGGCTCTACCAGAAATCTGGCCTCAAGCTCTTGGCCAGCCTCTTCTCCAACTACGCTGGGGCAGATACTGGTGAGTGGGTGGGTGGTTGGGTGATGGGTGGATGGAGAAGACCGTCGCCCACCAGAGTAGTCTCCTCTCCTGCCTCACCCCACCCCTCTTCTCCCCAGGTGGTGATAAAGGGAAAGGAGCCAAGAAGAAAGGTTCCTCCTTCCAGACCGTCTCAGCCCTGCACCGGGTGAGGGACCTATGGAGGGGACCTGCCGTGGGGTGGAGGGAGGACAACCCCTCACTGCCCCCTTGGCTTCTCTCTTGCCGGCCCACTAGTCAACTTCCTCTCCTCCCCAGGAGAACCTCAACAAGCTGATGGCCAACCTCAAGACCACACACCCCCACTTCGTCCGCTGCCTGGTCCCCAACGAGCGGAAGGCGCCAGGTGAGCAAAGGGCGGGGTCAGGGTCAGGGGTGGTGGGTGTGGCTCGTGGCTGACCCCACCTCTCCAACCCCACACCAGGTGTGATGGACAACCCCCTGGTGATGCACCAGCTGCGCTGCAACGGGGTCCTGGAGGGGATCCGCATCTGTCGCAAGGGCTTCCCCAACCGCATCCTCTACGGGGACTTCCGCCAGCGGTAGGAGGCGTGGAGGAGAAGATGTGGGGAGGGGGTGGACAACCCCACCGAGGCTGATCTGGGGGTGTCCCGTCTTCCCTGGCCACCAGGTACCGGATCCTGAACCCCGCGGCCATCCCCGAGGGGCAGTTCATCGACAGCCGCAAGGGCGCCGAGAAGCTCCTGGGGTCCATCGACATCGACCACAGCCAGTACAAGTTCGGGCACACCAAGGTGAGGTCACGTGGTCTCTGTCCCCTGTGGTCCCGCCGTCCGCAAGGTCTCGTGGACCCTGGGGTCCCATCATTCAGGAGGTCTTGTTGACTCCGTGGTTCCACCATTCCTGAGGTCATGCACACCTCGTCCCACCATCCTTGTGTCCACCTGCCCATTCATCCATCCACACACTAACCCGCCCTTCCACCTACTGCAGCCAGGACAAGTTCAGGCACTCCATGGTGATGTCCTGTGGTCTTCCCATGATCCCACCATCCATGAGATCTTGTGGACCTCATGGTCCCACCATCTACTTGTCCACCTGCCCAGCTACAGCCCACCCACCCACCAACCCATCCATCCATC